TAAAATATTACTCTAAATTTGAGAATAAAATTTTGTTTAAAAGAATGAAGTTGACATAGAATTCTAATTGTCAATGAAAATGAATATTCTTATCCAAAAAGAAAATAAAATGCACTTGAATAATGAGATATTAGAAGAAAAATAAGTGTTTGTGTGACCATATTATATATTTTATTTTATTATTGGTTGGTATATGTTATTTTTTTAAAAGAGAAAATATATAAAAGAGAAAAAATAGTAAATAGTAGTAATTAAAAAGTTATAACTGTTTTATAAAATAAAATCATCTATAAAAATTCAAATGAATAAAAGTAACAACGATTTAAAAAAAATGTAAACAAAAAGTGGTAGGTAATATTCTTCATTTATTATTCGAAAATGAAAGCCCAAAGTTGACTTTAAACAGAAGCCGGCAAACATGTCGGCATGATCTCGGGCTTCGTAAGGCACTGTTTGGTCTCTCTGTTTTAGAAATTCACTCTTTCGTCTCCATATATATAATAATTATATTAGAATAATTATTGAAGTAATTGTATATATATATATATATATATATATATATATATATATTCTATAAATATATGTTAATTTAAGTTTACTAACTCATTTATCAGTACTTAAAAATTTATTTTTTTAATATCATTAATATTTAATTTATTAACTTATTATTCTTAGTAATAATATGTGCAAAAGATAAGATAGTATGAAATGTTTTTATAATAAAGTTGATTTTAAATGTCAAGCGGATGGTGTTTTTGACGTTGTTAGTATGAAACACAAAAGAAAGAAGTATTCTTCGTACACAAATTCATTCATGTGAAAAAGCTTTTTAAATGATACAACAATTATTTATGTGAAATAAATTACCTCTGGAGTAAATAAACAGAACCAATTTGTATAACATATAAATAAAAATTATTTTATGCACAATTTAATTTGATAACTGAAATTATGCATGCATTCATAGTTATTAAATACTTAGTATTAATATTGTATAATAATGTTAAAAATAATATTATCAAATGTAAGTTGATAAATAAAAAAATATTATTAGAGTTAATCATAATAATAATAATAATAATAATAATAATAATAATAATAATAATAAATGAATAATATATTCTACTGTAATTAATTAATGTACCTGTGTTAATAATTTTGGTATGAATAAAAAAATTTAAAAATGTATAGTTGGAAACTCAAATACCAAAATTGCATGATTTTTGAAAAATCAAAAGTACAGTAGTGCTTATTATTAATTTAATACCAGAGCGAAATTCTAACTTTATACATTCCTCTACTGATTTTATTATTATTATTATTATTATTATTATTCACACATTATAATCTTAAACTTAAATTTAATTTAAATTATACGTAAATTAAATTTTTTAAGGAAATTTTCTCTCTTTTTTTTCTTTAAGGAATTACCATTTTAACTAGTTGAAGGAACATCTATCAATAACCTCAGATTAATATTTTATATCTCTATTTATATGTTTTATTTCCCTAAAATAAATCTCATATCACAATAAAACTATATATCATAAATTAAAAATATACTTTCTACATTTAAATATTCATTATGTGTTATAATTACTATTGCTTTTGAATAAATATTTATATTGGGAAATATAGTCCATAAAATACTAGTTTTCCATTATCTTAAACTTTAAGTAGTTTGGAGTGATTACATTTGTATTTACTATTACTATGATATTTTTTCTTCAAATTAAAAAATAATATATCTTATTTTAAGTTTTAATAAATTATATTATCGTTGAAATATTTTTGTTCCAAAACAAAATTATCATGTTATAATTACACTATTACTCTCAAATTAAAATCAAATGAAGTGTTAGTTCTTATATTTTTATATTATTTGATTCATTAAAATTATGTACAAGTAAACGATTCACTGTTTATAATAAAGATAATTCGATTCGATCAACTTAATAGCACAATATTTTAATAATTTGTGTGAAACTTTGTATTCAAGCAAGCTTATACCTAAAAAAAGTTTAAATGTTTATATAATCCCTCATTTTTGTAAGTTTTTTTTTCTCATATAACTAAGACTTGCTTTATTTGTGTATTTTGTAAATAACTTAATTTTAAGATATTAAAACAGGTTCAATCAAATAAACATTTTATTAAATTTATGGTTTAGTTTAAATTATATTTTATTCTTTCAATTTCAACCGTAATTAGTATGGGTACATTTGTTAACAATCATAAATTAAGAAAATAAATATAAATTAAAGATATGATAATAATATTATAATATATAGGTAAATATAATTAGTATTTAATTATTTATCAAGTTAAAGTATATATCTTAATAATTTTAAATTATTTATAATAAAATTTTTATTGAGATATAAGGATGTGGTGAAAAAACTTTTGTAAGATAAAAGATATGAAAATACGATAATATTATTAAATAATTTAATATAATTGAATTAAATATATTTTTACAAAATTATTAATCAAATATTTTTGGAAAATTAAATTAATAACCTTTAAATTTTACAAATAAAAAATATATAAAGTTCAAATTCAAAAACTACAAATATATTAATTTTAAATTTAAAAATGATATATATAATACATTTATCTAAATTAAAATAGTGATATATATATATATATATATAATAATAATAATAATAATTTCACAAGAGGAAAGGGAAGGAATTGTGTAGCCTCGTAATGAAATACGCGTAAAAAAAATAAAAAAAAAGGTGGCCAATTGTTAATATTAATAATAATAAAAAAGGAGAATTAAAACAAATTAGGTGACCCACTCACTCACTGATTTCATGGTAACAAAGGGAAATGTCTGAATAAAAAAAGTAATTTCCAATTCCATTGTGGCCATAAATTGGGCCTACACCCACAGTCCTGCTCAACATCAACCATTTCAAACCTACACAAGAGGACTGGTCAACAACTCCATAAGGATTTCAATAAACAATTTTTTTTTAAATCACAATGAGAGAGGAAAATGATGCACAAGCAAATTCCTTACCTTCAGATCAAACTACCATAATTTATAATCGTTTAACAATTTTATATCATAATATAATAACATTATATTATTATATTAAATTTATAATCCTCAAATGAATGTATATTACATAATAAATTGTCATCTAATATTTTTGTCAATTTTTTTATTATTATTCTGTGAATTTAGTTTTCTTTTATAATTTAAAAAAAATGATATTATATGTGACTCAAAATGCGTGGAGGATATATTAATTTGGTTCATCTATATATTATTACCAACCGTTTTCATTATAACATAAGAATTTATCGAAAGTACAGAAAATTAGAATTAGAGACAAATACAAACAGATAATTTTTTAGAAGAATTATAATATATATTCTTAATAAAAATTTCAAAGATATATATTTTTTAACCGTACTAAAAATATACCCTAAAATAATACTTATGAGTTATAATATTTGATAAAGTCATTTCCCACCTCATATTCACTCTCTTACCCAAATTAATTCTTATAAGCAACCTTAACAAGTTTAAACACACATACTTTAATTATATTCATTATATTATGTATATACATTAAATGTTTATGACATGTATCACATGATAATCTAACTCATAAAAAATACTAAAGAATTCAAGTTACATTTGAATATTCATTCACCTTTAATTAGAATAATAAATTTTGTTTTAAAAAATATTTATTAAATTTTATATAACTTTAAAATCGAGATGAAGGTTAATTTATATAATTTTTTATTATTATTTAAGATATTTTTAAAATATAAAATTATGACGCTCAATAATTCTAAAACAATATAATAATTAAAAAAAATTACTAAAAATTGAGTTAAAAATATAAACGAGATTTGTCATTCAAACATACTTTCACATGAGATTATTAAAAGTTTATAACTAAATTTTAAATTGAAAAAGTAACATGCTACTTCTATGTTCCTTTTTAAATGTTAATTTATTTTTTCAATATACATGTACATATAATATTTTTTATTTTAATATATTATTTATTTGATTTTTCAACTTTAAAACTTGAGTACAATTTTTCAAAATACTCATTAGAATAGTACAATTTTGCCTAGTGGTAGATCAACCATCCCCTATTGCCCTCATCCTTTTTTTCTCTATCATCTATGGATTATTGCCAATTAATTTTTTTATAGATTTTATCGAAAAAAATTAAACAAAAATAACGAACATATGTTATTTTAATTTAAAACCCATTAAGATATTAGAAAAAGCATCATAAAGTATTTTCAAAAATAAAAATTGAACAACAAAATAAAAGAAAAAAAAAAATCAAAGATGTATGTCGTAGGTGGAGTTCAACATGTGTTACCAATGCCCATCACACATGGTAAGAGTGGGACCCAATTCCCGACCGCGATGATTATTAAAAACTACAAAATGTACATTTTTGTAATTATTGAGAGTTGCAGGGTGAAAGTGAAACTTCGTAGCAACACGGAAAATTCAATGGCAACCTCGTAATAGAGATTGTGTAACGCAATTGTTGAATTGCAACTGTGTCCCCTAATTAGTAATTACCACCCCAATAATAATTCCCCGTTTCCACTTCAAATTTCCAAATTTGAAATTTCTCTTATATTTTTATTTTTTATTATTATATACATAGATATATAAATATTTTGCCTTTCTTTTCTTTCCATTATAATTATTTATTATTTATTATTCTTCCTTTACCTTGTGCTGTGTTTCGCCTCACCAGTTTCTTCGATTGGTTGATCTGCTTTCTGGGGCATGTTGGTGTCGATGAGGATCATGTTCAGAAGCATCCACTGTGAGTTGTAGAAGCAGAAAGGGTAGTGTTTGGTGGCGATTTCTGAGATGGGTCTTGTGTGGGTGTGAGTGTGAGTTGGACTGTGTTGAAGGCATTTGAGGGGTGTGTTGTTATGAGAGGCATTATTCCTTGGTGGGTTTTGTAAGGGGTGGCTTTGATTTGCTTGGATTTGATATGGGTGGGTGTTTTCCTTGTTTTGGATCATCCAACAAGGAGGACAGTGGTGGGGTGAGGGTCAAGGAGGTGCCCAACAAGGATTCTTCTTTTAAGGAAGCTGCTTCTCTTGTTCCTCAGTCTCATCATCCCAGCAGGGTAAACACAGGTCTGGCTCCTAATTTTGCAACTTTCCTTTTCAGACTTCCATTGCCCTCTTCGATTGAACCACTGCTTCCTTGGCTTGCCTCCAATTGTCCTCAATTTCCCCTTTTGTGTGCCTTTTCTTGGCTTTTCTGGCCATGTTCTTCAATCCAAGTTGTTGGTTGCTTTGATCTGGTTCATCTGAGGTTGTGCTCGAACTGGTGTAGTCAGTGAAGTGATTTGATGGGCAGTGGATATGCTTTAGCTTCACTTAATTGAATTTTGTTCCTACTAAGAGCTCCTAGTTACATCTTTGGGGATCTGCCCTTGCCTTTGAATATGACAAGTACATCACATTGTTTCATAATGTTTTTCCTTTTGCCCTTTTGACAATTTTGGGATATGAGGCAGATGCCGGGTCCGGTTCAATAGCTGCATTTTCTGTAGATTGTTCAATGCGGTTGTCTGGTTGATGATTATAAAAAATAAATTTGTACAGAATGAACGCTATTGTCTAAAGAAACAAATAGTCCATTCAGAAGATAGATACTGAAAACTTTACCATCCAGGCCTGGTATTTGTTCTCTGGACAATTGGGATTGTCCAAACTACTTGAATCACATTCTAACTGCTGGCAGGATCTGATACATTTAACAATGGAAACCTATTCATTGTGCAATTTAAATATAAACCTGCGTAGCTCAAGCTGGGTTTAAATATTTATTGTAATTATAAGTTTAGCAGTATCAGTGTCTTGATATCACCTTCAGTACATGTTTTCACTCTCTAGTTTATCTGATTATGTTTTTCTGTTACTTTTACTCGATCTTATCTTTGATTTTCTGTTTAGATAAATCGAAGTCATCAAGAAGTGGCTCAGACGCTAAGAAGGAAACACCAGTTCCCAAGGATGGTCCAACGGACCATATTGCTGCACAAACATTTACATTCCGAGAGCTTGCAGCTGCTACAAAGAATTTTAGGCCTGAATGTTTATTAGGCGAAGGAGGTTTTGGACGAGTTTACAAAGGTCGTCTAGAGAGCACAGGACAAGTAAGTTGCAATTTCTGCTTGAAATTTTGGATTTAACATATACTGAAGTTCATTATAATGCTTTTCATATACAACGGATTCATCATATTTTAGTTTGCATCTTCGGCTCGCAAAAGTTGCGTATCTGCTGTCGCTTTTTCATTTGATTATTGCTCTGTTACAATAACCATGCCCTCTCTGAATTTTTGTTGATGAAATAATTCTCTTTGCAGGTAGTTGCTGTAAAACAGCTAGACCGAAATGGTCTCCAAGGAAATCGAGAATTTTTGGTGGAAGTTCTCATGCTCAGTCTCTTACATCATCCCAACCTTGTGAACTTAATTGGTTATTGTGCAGATGGTGATCAGCGGCTGCTTGTTTATGAATTTATGCCATTGGGATCTTTGGAGGATCATTTACATGGTCAGATTGCATTCTTTTTTAACTGTCAACATTGCTTTCTGAGTTAATATGCTTTCATATCATAAAACTATAAAATACTAAAGTTCATGTTGATTCAATTTTTTTTTTCTCTCATAAATGTCAAATTAATGCTATAACTTATGGGATAAAGTGGAGAAGAGAAGTGTAGGATTCTTTGTTGAATGGGAAATTTCTTTCATTCTATGATTTCTAAACTCACTGTTATCAAACAAGAATTATGTCTCTGTTCTTTGACTTTGTCGTTTCTAATTAAAATTGGGGAAACGGTATGTGCTTTAAAGCAGGGAGAAAACAAATTATCACATGGTTCAAACTTCAAGGGATGAAGTATACCATTCCAGAAGGGTTGAACAGAGGGAGAAAATACATCATGTGTTTCTATTTCTACAAATCAATTTATCTTAGGAGTCAGTAAAGTTACTGTAGTTTGTTAGTAGAAGGGCTAGACTGTTAGAGGGATTTAAAAGGTAAATAAGTAGGAAGAGGTAATGGGGGAGCTGTTCTATTATATCTTGTACCATCTGTAGATTGAGTTTTAGCTCTATGTGAAAGGAGAAATAGTTTTCGATGGGAAACCAGTGGAGACATCTCTATCCTATTTTATGTTTTCCCCATTCTATTTAAAAGATATTTTTTCCCTTCCCTTCCCTTTCTATTCTTGGTACTTAGCAATTTATCTTCTGCTTTAGCTAGGGAAAGTGTGTTGCATGCTAGGAGACCATATATGTTGACTAAACATCATAGTTTCCAATTAAAAAGTAGAACTTCCGAAGGAAGATAATAGATTATCAATAGAGACCTTGGTGGATACTATGGTATTTATTTGTTTATACTTTATATAGTTTGAAAATTCTGGCTTGTGTACATGATGTTACAAATGTATAGCATTTGACTGTTATTGCAAGGTTATGTAGACATCTAGGATTCAAGGAGTAATGTGAATATTTTTTAGTGCATGGCTAGGTTTGATTCTTTATGATTTATGACATGGGAACATTGTTAATGGTTAGATTTACAAAATCATGATGTAAGTTCTGATCGCTATTTGTTAAATGAACTAAATTCAACTTTATATTATATAATTCTCTTACTACTTTTGACTCTGAATTACTTAAAAGAGAAAAAATGTATTAATTGGCTAGAAAGTTTACCAATAAAGAGTTTTTTTACTGTTGAGAAATGATCAGTCATTTCTGTTGGAATTTTACCCTTTTTCACTTTTTTAATTTAGGTGGTGAGATAGAAACTAATTTAACAGATTATTTTCCGAAAACTACATGGCAGTGGTTATGTGCCCATGTTCCAGAATAGCTCCTTTTTTCAAAAGTTTTCTCAGGAAGTTTTGGAAAAAAAAAAAAAAAATTATTTCTCCAAAATATGCTAAACTAAATATAGCCCTTAAATTCTACCGCTTATATTGGAGTGGCCATATGATGTTTTGGAAAATAATTATCTAAATCTATGGTAGAAGTTAAATTGCTTACTTGCAGATAGAGGTGGTTGATCTCAAATGAGAATTATATTACTTGTTTGTTTGTTTATCAAACTTGTCATGAAAACAGGTATGACGGGAGGATACTTTCATGCACAAAATTTTTCCTATATCCTCTTCATTTACCACATTCAGAAATAACAACTCTTCTTTATACTTTTTGACAAGACGACAAGAATTGTAGTTGTAGCTAATTATTTGCTGTTAGGTTTAATTTGAGTTTAAGGATTCTGGGAATTCTTACCCTATACGATATCAGAGCATTTGCTAAGGTTTCTGAATAATCTGTGTAAGACTTTCATTTTTTCCTCTAGATGGGATGCCCAAGTTTGCATAAGCTGGCAGTTAGTGTGCCCTTCATATTTCTTAGGCTAGACCACAAGGTGCCCTGGCACCCTTGGGGTATGGGAGTGTTTTGCATTGGGACATAGACAAGCATGCCTGCAGCTAAATAGAAATTTTTGTTTATAATTAGCTAAACCTTTAAGTCGTAGATGATTATTGAAGTAGGAAAACCATTTAAACTCATGCTTTACTGTTTTCTCATTGACAAGCAAAAATCCTTGATGGATGGCTCTCCTCGTAGACCAGATTATTGGTGTAGAATTCGTACTGTAGGGTTTCTAGTTCTAGTAGATAGAAGCAGAATCTTAAATTGCAATGTAGAAGTGTAGGAGTAATGAAATTTTTAGTTGAATTTGGTTTCAATAATGGTTGCATTGAACTTGCTGGAAGCATGGTCAGGCAACATTAGATAACTGAGAATGGTATTTGTATTCTGTACTGTCTATTTTATCAATCATTTTCACTCAATCAATCTTCTTTGTTGTTGTACAATACGTGGTAATTTAATGTCATTTTTTGGCTTGAATAAGTTTCCAACTGGTTAACGAGAAATAAAGCTTAAAGATTATTGGATGTTGCAATTCTGGTAAACTAGGGTGTATTTTGAAGAGCTTATTTACAGTTTATTGTATATATTTGTTGTTTTGAGCCTATTTCAATAAGTCTATAGTATAACTTATAACAACAGGCTACAACTTGGATGAAAATAGTTTAACCCTATTTCTTCTTCAATTATAAAAACAACTTATGCATAAGAACCTATTTGGAAGAGCTTATTTACAGTTTATTTGGAGATAAATATTATATACGCACTTGTGCAAGTGTTTAGGAAAGACTGTGAAAATAGCTTATGATATGTCCATAAGTTGTTTTCAGTTTATTTCTATAAGCTCTCTAGAAAAGACTGTGCCGAAATTTTTTTACTACACTTCGGTGTAAATAGTTTAATTTTTTTTTTTTTTATCAGCATAACCTACACCGTGGGAACTTCATCCATGAAAATTTGTTTTTTAACACTGGCATTGAGTAATGGTAACTTTACAGGTTTGTGCATATGTTGAGAGGGGGAGGTTGGGGTGGGGGGATGCTCATGTGAGATCTTCAATAATCTCTGCCAAAAACTTCAACACTCATCATGTTAGGGGCACATCAGGATCAGCAAAGCTTGTTACTAGTGATTTAAGATAGGACCTGTTATGAATCTACTTGTCTTGAACGATTTTGTAGAGCAAGTAAAAAAGAGCTTTTATTTGCAAGTAAAATATTACTGTTTTTTTTCTTCCTGTATTGCTTTTTAGACTTTGTTACTTGTTTGACATAATGCGACTGTAAATATGATCATTTAAATCTGAACTGGCTAGCTGGCTAGGTAACAATGTGCTATAATTCTCTTGATCTGTTAGAACGAGTGTTATCCCTGATGAACAGACTGTTCGATAAGTTCTTTAGAATCCCATTACATTGTTGGTTTGCATCATCAACAGACATTGCTTTAAGTTGTATGTTTTAATAGAATTTATTAATCCATGTAAGTTTTCAGCCTAAGCCTATGCACTGGAGAAATTTCTTACTCTGACTCTCTTTCCAGATCTTCCTCCTGACAAGGAGCCTCTGGACTGGAACACTAGGATGAAAATAGCGGCCGGAGCTGCAAAGGGATTGGAATATTTGCATGATAAGGCAAATCCGCCAGTTATATATAGAGACTTAAAATCATCCAACATCCTCCTAGATGAGGGTTATCATCCCAAATTATCAGATTTTGGGCTGGCAAAACTTGGTCCTGTTGGTGACAAGACTCATGTATCCACAAGAGTAATGGGAACATACGGGTATTGTGCCCCAGAATACGCTATGACCGGTCAACTAACTCTGAAATCTGATGTCTACAGTTTTGGAGTTGTCTTCCTTGAACTTATTACTGGGCGCAAGGCTATTGACAATACCCGTGCGCATGGAGAGCACAATCTTGTTGCATGGGTAAGTATTTATCATCCTTGTGGTTTTAGGCCATAAGAAGTGCTAACAACACACTCTATCACACTTCTTTCAACACATTCTACTGTTATTCAAAAGTTATTGAAAATTACAAAATCATGAGTGGAGATCATTAAATGAGAAGTAAGACCCAATTTTTTTTGTAATTTCCAATAACTTCCTGTGAATAATTAATTGCGTGTTGTTAGCATTTCTCCCAAAATATACGTCATGTAAACCAGTTTGTTTGTTCATGTTTTGATTCCCTTGATCACAACAAATTTACAATCATTTGTCTTCATATTCTTGGGAAATTTGTAGGCACGGCCTCTCTTCAAGGACCGTAGGAAGTTCCCCAAAATGGCTGACCCTCTACTTCAAGGCCGTTACCCAATGCGAGGACTGTATCAAGCACTTGCAGTTGCTGCAATGTGTCTGCAGGAACAAGCTGCTACGAGGCCTCTGATTGGGGATGTGGTGACTGCTCTCACATATCTGGCCTCACAGACATATGATCCAAATGCAGCCAATCAATCCAACAGAATTGGCCCTTCAACTCCTAGGATCAGGGATGATAGAAGGAGCCTGGCAGATGGCGTGGACAGCCCCGACCGCCGCCTCGGCTCCCCGTCCACCCACCGAAACTCCCCTGACTTCAGGAAGAAAGATAGCAGGGATCCCAGCAGCGTGAACGAGTTAGGCAGGATCGACACGGGTGGTGGCTCAGGGAGGAAATGGGGATTGGATGATTATGAAAGGCAGGAGTCTCAGAGAGACAGCCCGGTAAATACTGCAAGAGCCAGAGAGACTCCATGGAACCGTGACCTGGACAGAGAGCGTGCGGTGGCAGAAGCAAAAGTCTGGGGTGAGAATTGGAGAGAGAAGAAGAAAGCAAATGCCATGGGTAGCTTCGATGCTACAAATGACTGAACAGACACCGGAACACAACCAATTTGTTGTTCATCATGTATGGTTGAGTCAGAGGATAGACTCTGTTGGTTGTCTTGAATCCAACTTGGACTGTTCTCCCACGTCATTCTGATAGTTTGTTAGTCATCATCATGTGAAGGAAAACAGTACACAGTTGAAAAAAAAAAAAAAAAAAAAAAAAAGGAGTTGGGGGAGAAGTTAGTGTGGATTGGGGTATTTAAATGTAATGATGATGGTGCAGAATGTGAATTCAACAGCCATGTCTATGTACTAACGATTTCTAGGTTCATGTTGCATAGAGCAGCAAAGGTGCGTCTAATTTTTGGCCCCTCTTATTTGGTTGTATTGTATGATGGGGGGAGCTTAGTGTATTGCTGTCACATGATGTACTCGTACAGTATCTGTTGTATGTCTGAGTCTATGTTTTCGGCTTATACCATAAAAAATTATTTTCCACTTCACTCTTGCACATGCAATGAATTGACGCATGTATCTCCACATAAGCAGACATGTCCTGATGAAAAAATATTTTCTATTGGTTATCTTAATCAAATCTCTAAACTTGTAAACAAGCCAATCTGAACTAGTTAAACATGATTATTTATTCTTATCCACTTTCGGTTAATCATTTATCGTCAGGTTTTGCAGGCTGTCTGAAGAACTATTACTACTTTTTTTTCTTAAGAACTAGTATTTAGTAAACATAAGCCGTGTTATTATTGGAAAGATCACGATTTTTTTTACATGCTTTAAAATCATATATGTATATAGAATTGAAAGAATGCTATCATACTATTATATGTTTTATAATAACATTTTGCGCTTAAAATAATTGTCGTGAATATAATAGAAAAATTGAATATTATTAATGCAAATTATCGTAGTGTTTTAAAGTAAAAAACTGCAGTGAAAAAATAATCAAAAATTAAGAAATTTCCATGATAAATTATGTTTTTTGTGTGCAGAATACTAATTTCATCTAGACGTATTTTTGACCTAAAAATACAATTAGATTCTAAAAGGAGCATATTCACATGTAATAGTGTGGTTGTTGATAGTTCGCATGACAAACACAAACTACATTATAGTTAAAAGTGAATACATGTGATGTTGCTATTGATGTTGGATAAACAAAGGGTAAATGTTAAGCAATTGAAGTGACGAAAATGGTCATTGTTTGAACAGATATTTTGCATTACATCGACATGTAAATTGAAGGAGGGAAAATGATCATTAACAGTACAGGATAAAAGCTACAATGGAAGAGCACATCGCATTGGATGGAAAATGTTTTGAACCTTTAAATGTACCCACCTACATGATGGACAAAAGCTAAAAACCTGCAAAAATGAACATGTTAGAATATATATATATATATATATATATATATATATATATATATATATATATATATATATATAAAACCTAAATTAAATTAAGTTATTTTTTCTTGGATCTGTTTAAATCACGATCTGAAGTCGACCTATATATAGTCTACCATCTGAAATAGTAACTATATTATAAAACAAAAATTAGTAATAATATTAATTTACTAAAATATATAGATATATCATAATTTATAGATTCAATTAAAATTAATTTAATTAATATAGCTCATCTTTTAAAATTATATTTTATTTTAACTTTTTCAAAAAATTATTATTATATTATTTTTTAAACAAGTCAAAAGAATTTGTTGGTATGACCTATTCATTTTGTTGCCTCTATCTTCTGTTCCATCCATTCTCACTTTGTGGTTCCTACTTTTTATCTAGTTTCTTCTCCCTTCTTCTACAATGAAGATGTTGACTCTAATGCTATGTAACAGATAACAAGATATATGCAATATAGAGAAAGAGGGAACGCCGGACCATTTGTGGCGTCGTAGATTTCTTACTTCTATGTTCTCGTCTCTTGTTGTAGGTTGGCGTTGATTACTTGGATGTTTCTTTTATACGGAAAGGTAAGGTGTGATAGTTCCACTGTGGAGATGGGAGATTTGGATCGAGATCTAGAGGTTAGATCTCACACTCGAAACCCTAAACCCCTCAAGCTTCGCCGTTGAAGATTGAATTAACGGAGATTCAAGGATCTCAACAAACGTGGATGACGAGCACAAAAAACATTGGTGAAATTTGGGGTTTCGAGGGATGCTGTTCAGCGTTCGCTTAACACAAGCCTACTAGAAAATAGTATGAAGTTAGAATTACATATATTCATTGAACAGCTATGTAGATTTTACATACATTCTTACAACATGATTTCTGTATTATATTAATCTAAATAGCCATACAACTGATATTTTGAGTTACATAAATCAAAATGAGGTTGGTAGCACGACCTATGGAGGGAGACAAGCCGCCAATTGTCATGTCTGGGCCACATCTTTTAAAACCCCACAACCCTCAAATTATCCTATGCAATATGGAGAACATTTATTTTCTTCTCTTCCCCTGCGAGAACAGTAAGATCTGCTTCAAAAAAAGCAATGCAAAAAACTTCTAGGTAATCAAGAAGGAATATAACTCTTAGAAAGAATGCATACCGTGCTTGCATAATCATCCATGGTTAACTGCTTCCGCTTCTTCAAAGACGGACTCTCTGTCTGTCTTGCCAAAGCACGCTTTGATGGGGTCATGTTCTGCAAGATTTTTTAAACTTGAGTATGAGAAAAATCATATTTGAATTATATACTATTTACACACAAAATGAAGAGAACTAACTTTGGCAAGTTTCTTCTCTTTGCGAGCTTGTCTCTCCCTCTCGTCATATTCTTGATTTTCCTTTTCTACTAGCCGAATGAGGGTGTCACACCTCCTTGCTAATTCCTGAGTTGTGCGAGACTTAACAAACCAATCAAATCGAAACAACGGTGAAGTTCGAAATGCCGCCTTTAACTCATCCCAGTTCCCATAGCCAAGTTTGTGAACCATGCATATCTGTAATTTCATAACATAATTGTTTTAGAAACCCATAGAAGGATGGCGAAGCTAGACCTAGAAACAAAAATAAAATAAAATTGCGAGACAAATAAAATTTTTACCATGAATCTGTCACATTCTTCATTATACAACTTCCCTTTGTTTTGCCCATACTGTATCTTTAACTCTAGCCAAGGATTCTTGTAGCGGTCCAACTTCTTCCCAATAGCTTTCATGATCTCATCTTTACGAGAAATTCTTGCCTCCCCCCTTTCAATGTTTTTAATAATTCTATCATAATCTGCAATGATTCAAAATGCACAAATCAGTTGACATTTCAAAGAGACTAATTTCCAGCTAAAATTGATACATCAACGCCTACACACAACATAAAAGTCTTATCCCACTTGGAGAATATCAACACTTGTACATGCACAATAAATAGAATCAGTACAGAAATGTGTTGCATTTTATCACAACACGGCATAAAATAAGTCAAAATCAAAATATCAATCACTCAAAGCTGCTGTATATGAAAAACAAGAAAATTGATTTCCACACTAAAATATTCAACAAGAGATTGTTCCATAGTCACATTGGTTGTAACATACCATTTAATTCCTTGTATCTTTCTTTGAAGACCTTCGCATATCTTTCAACTTCCTCCACGGTCTTTCCTTCCATCTCAGAAGCAATACTTTTTATATCATTTCTGCCATATTTTTCGCACGCCCTAATGAAAGTATTAAAATCCCTCCGACTCCAAGATGAAAATCCCTAATTAACCACATAACAAAAATTATAAAAACAAAGGCGCTGTAAAAGCCTAGTTTGCTAACAAAGGGGAAATTGTTCACCTCTTCAAGCAACCGTTCCTTTTCTTCCAACTCTTCAACAGTCAATGGATCTCCCACCTCTAAACATTCATTTCATCACAATTAAAATTAACGTCATACATACAGAAAGGAGAATTCAAAGTAATAGTCTGAAGAGTAACCAAGTACCTTCTGGTTCATCAACATCTATTGAGTCTCTTATCTGATTCTTCTGGTGTGTTTGCTGAAATTTTAAAAATAATAAGGCACAAAAGAAAATCAATTCATTGAGCTAAACTTAAAACCAAAAAAGTGTGAACAAGCACATCTATTTTCCCTACACCTACCATGAGATTGCGAACTTCCTTTTCATACAACTCACTCAACCTTTGTGTGTTGAAAAACTGGAAATCATGCCTGGATGTCAAAGGAAAAGTTATCCTAAGTAAATAACAGAAGTGTTATGTTAAGAAAAATAATGGAAGTGTGGAAGCTTACAACTGGGGCATCCTAGGAATTCGAGGTTCTTTTGGTTTAGTAGGACCACCTTGACGCATTGTTTGCTTGAAGTATTCAGACTCTGAATAGCTAAGAGCAAGAAACCACAGAAAAAGAGAAGAAGCAACCATGTCATAAAAACAAAATATCACATCAATATGGATTTATAGAATTTAAAGGGCAATGCTTACTTGCGCTTCCGCTCCCTTTTAGGTGGTTCAATCCAGTTCTCACTAACAATTTTTTTTATATCAAATCTGTTTTCATCCTTTATAGAAAGGAGGAAATTGATGTGCCAATGTCAGTTGGATAGAGAAGAAGGGGGAAGAGAAGGTTGACAAAGCAGGGCAATAAAAAATTGTCAAAGATAAAACAAAATGTCATCTTTACCTTCTCATCATCAAAATCATATAACTCAGCAGCTAGAAAAAGAAAGAATCAGTATAAGTAACTCCATATTTCAAACAGCAGAAAGCATAAAACTTGTACAGATCAAGCCAATATTGTACTTAAGATTATATCAGGTAGTCATAGGTACATACTGTCATCCATCTTAAATTTGATGGCATCTTCAGTAAATTTCTTCATCTTGGCATCAAGCTCAGCTGTTGCCTCCTCTCCTTTAGCAATAATTCTATCAATATCCTCATCTGTAATTGTACTATCCTTGGAACTGAAAACCATTTCAGCCCCAAATCTAACCATTTGAAGCAATTCATCTTTATTTACCGCTGCACATGAAGGCCAATAGAATCATGAGACAATCCATACTTCGTGCAGCAAAGAACAAGAAAAATCATCCATCAAATCCTTACTCTTCTGCTCAGCTAATCGCCCTTGCTGAATCACCAAAGCATCAAGTGCAAGCTTTTTGTAGGCCCTTTCAATGACTTTTTCTTCAATTGTATACTGTACCATTATCATGACAAGGTGAGATACTAGCAAAGATAGATTGAACAATGAATTGAAAATTAAAATAAAGTTTAAAATTGTTAACCTCAGTACAAAAACGAAAAACTTGAACTTCTTTCTTTTGACCAATCCTATGAGCACGATCCTGAGCCTGCAAGTCAACTTGTGGGTTCCTGTTGTAAACCACCAACCATAAAAAAAAAAATTAAAAGTACTGATATAAATCAGAAAGATGTGTCCACAACTATTTGGAATACTGACCAGTCACTGTCATAAAGAATGACAACATCAGCAGTAGCAAGATTAATACCAAGACCTCCAGCACGAGTTGATAAAAGGAAGACAAATTTCTCACTCCCTGGTTTGTTGAAAGCATCAATGGAAGCATCTCTATCATCCCCACCAGTATTTCCATCAATGCGACAATATTGATATCCACGAAACATTAAATAATCCTCAAGTATGTCTAGCAGTCTAGTCATCTGAGGGGAAAAGCAACAAATGAATGAGACAAAGAAAACAGATTGCTAAATGTAAAGCATTCACAATCATCAGCTACAAGAATCATATTCTGGTAGATATAGAACAGACCTGTGAAAATATAAGAACCCTAGAATCACGCTCTTTCAATTTAGGAAGTAACTTATCCAAAAGAACCATTTTACCTGGAAACAATTTTTTACAAAATCAAAAACTCTCAAATTTTATTGATCAACCTAAAAAGAAGTTCTGCACTCTCTTAATACAAGTAGAGATTACCAGCATTTGTAATGAGATGATCTCCTGTCGTGTAGGGAGGACCAGGTTCAGCACCTTGGAAAAGATATGGATGATTACAACATTTGCGTAGTTGCATAGCTATGTTCAGGAGGCGTTTCCGTTCACCACCAGCATTTACAACCTCAAGATCCTTCTGAAGTAATGCTCTATAATACTGTTTCTGCATTTGGGACATGCCTACTTTAAGAATAGTTTCCTTTTTAGGTGGCAACCCTTTCTCAACATCTGATTTCAACCTTCGAAGAAGAAATGGCCGGAGGACCTTAATATACATAAAAAATAAAAATGTCAATTATTTACTAGATTAACATTAGGAACTTTCAACAATTAAAAGATGGTTCCGTAATTAACCTTGTGCAACTGTTGAACAACCTCCTGTTGGTCATTTTCACCAGAGATTTGAAACCATTCATCAAAAGTTTCAGCAGAACTAAATATTTCGGGCAGAAGAAAGTTGAGAAGAGACCAGAGTTCATGAAGATTATTCTGTGTACCATTGAAAGAGATAATAGGTACCAGTAAATACTTGAGGAAGCATACAAGCAAAAAAAGAGACAAATTTCAAAACAAGGCATAAAAGTATTTACTTTTTTAAACCCTAAAAAGATATCAAAGCTACTTTACAGTTGAAAACCAACAACACCAAAGAACAGCAAGTTTAACCAATTCAAAGTTATGAATCATTTAACACTTCAGTTAGGTTAAATCAACAACCTTAATTGACTGTTAATATAAAATCTTATCAGGAATACATAAAATACCCAAATACTTCCAATGAAATTTAGCTACACACCATATATCAAAGGTTCCCAAGAGGAAAAGCAAATTATATTTTAAATATTCTTTACTTACTTAATAGAAATTTCCATTCCCATCCAACAATACTAAAACTAAGGACGATCATTACTAAAAGACAAATTTAGAATTTCAATAATGCAGCCCAACCCCCCATCACTACTAGCAGTTTCTTTAATTGAAAACTAACTGAAATTTACAGAATACATATGATATGAGATCATACTAGTTAAATTATATTGAAAAAATTAGCATCACACCGCCTCTATAGGCCAATAAATTAAAAAAAAATGAAGATAAAAAAAAAAACTCTTCCTCAAATGACTACAATGTTACAGATAATACAAGTAATACCTGAAGTGGTGTGCCAGTAATAAGGAGGCGATAGTTTGTACTGTAGAGTCTCATTGTTTTGGACAGCAAAGAATTCTCATTCTTGATTCGATGAGCTTCATCAATAATTATGTACCGCCAACTAAATCTACGCAACATAGACTTCTCCTTGATTGCCATTTCAAAACTTGTGACACAGACATCAAACTTCCCAGCAACCAGAAGTTCCTCTCGTATATGTCTCTGCAGCAAGTCAAAACCATTAGGAAAAACAGATAGAATTAAGTGCCAACTATAACCTTTGACTAAATAATTAAACTCTGAATAGATGGTTTTACCCTTTCATCAGGGTTGCCAAGAAACTTAATTGCACGTAGAACAGGACAAAATCGACGAATTTCATTCATCCAATTTCCAAGTGTAGATTTTGGAGCAACCACCATATGTGGGCCTTTTATTCCTCTGAACTCGTGCAAATAACCCAATAAAGATATGGTTTGCAATGTTTTACCAAGCCCCTGCAAATCACATGTATTTGTCATGACTTGTCAAAATCAACTCATCAACATCCAAACCTTACTCCCCTGGGTGACGCATCTAAATAAGCTCAATTATCAAATTACATATAATAAAGCAAATGCCTCTAATGCAGTTAATTCAGTTCAGCGCAACTGCAAGCCCACCAAACACATACCATTTCATCAGCCAGAATTCCATTTATCCCATTCTCATACAATCGTATGAGCCAATTTAGTCCAGCCAGTTGGTAATCCCTCATCTTCCCTTGGATACCTTTAATAAATTAAAAACAAGCAATTAACGTTCATGACACCACAAATTAAAAAATAGTATAAATGGAAATGATGTATTTGATGAGAAACCTTCCCCCATCCAAACAAACTGTTGATTTAACAGCAATCCATCAGATGTCAACAATAAATATGGAAGCATCAAACAGGAAGGGTGCACAAGAAAAAGATTTCATGATGAATCTCTGTATCACAAGTAGCCCAATGAGATTCGAACAACAAAATGGAGGGTGTTTACCACCAGAACACAGATCATGAATAATGTATGACATCTTCTCTACAGGTTTACTCAATCAATGCATCCTTATCCAGGACTATGATACAAATGCACATATCTAACCTATAGAAGTGAATAGCACACTAAAGCAGGGCAGCAGAGTGGCATGACCCAGGGGTACTATGGGATTAAAACAGTAGAGCAGTTTTCAATAGCAGCCATTGCGACCAAAATAGCAGCTTTTCACACACTATAGAGTTGCTGCAATGGTATAGGCTTCAAAAACACATTACTACCCTCCTGGAACATGACCATTTTGTGGGTAAAACATGCCACGTAAAAATTAGCTTGTTTTGACATCTATTCTATTGTGTTCTATTCTTTCTTCTTTCTTTAGACATCCCACCCAGTTCTCATTCTGCTAAATTTTTATATAATTTTTGTTATTATTTTATTAACATCACCATTATTATTATTTTTAATTCATCACTACGTTCTTATTGCTCATACATTGATGGTGATTGTGTGCGTAAACTGGGACTTATTATTTATCATGAATTTCTTTAACTTTGGGTTTCCTGTTCTGTTTGGAGTATATATGTGTACTATAAATTATTTGGTTTGTAATAAAATGCTATCAAAATGGAAGTCGTCCCACTATCCTGCTATTGCTGCATCAATGTTAGCCACTAGGAACCACTGTCTGACAATAATAACTACAATTCCAAACATTTACTCAAACAAATAGAGGAAAAGAGGGAGAAAAAAGTAATTGTGTTGTATCAACAAAGCAATTATACAACCATCACCATACAATATGCATACTGAATAAACAGAAAGAAAAGATTGTGCTACAGGTGCACAATGTGAGACTCTAAAGAATAGAGCCTTCAATCCATGCAAGCAAGCACAACTTACAAAGAAAGAACACTTACATGATGGTTGTGTCACCAGACGTGTGTTGGCTACACCATCTTCTTCTTCTTTAAGATATTCTTCATCTTCCTCTTCCTCAGTCACTTTCGATGCATGGCGACCCCTTATTACACAAAATTGAATGTTAGGATTAACCCTTTTTACTCAGCACAAATTTAATTTCAACTCTTTAGTTCTCATAACTGAAATCAGTCCCTTCCTCATCCAGTTTTTTCTCCCCTCCAATATAGGGGGGATTTGGAGGAGAGGGGAAAAGGGAGTTAAAATCTTTCAACCATAATTACTAAAATACTGATACTTTTGTTTTGAAATTTGAAACTCCAAGAATATAAAAGTAAATTAATTCATAAAAACCTTCCTTTCTCCTCCTCTCAACCAAATATAATGTCTAATCAAAATCCTTCCCTCGTTGAATGAAAAGTGCTTAGAGAGCCCGAGGTAATTGACAGTGTCTAATCAACCAATTAATTGATTTTTTTTATGCTAGTTTATGTCTACAATTTCCTAGTTGATTTCACATATCTCTTGTCCTTGGGTAAACTGCTCTTGTTCAAGTGGAATCAGTTGTAGTTGGCATATATAAATATAAAAAACAAGTAGAAAATCCTGTCTTGTTTCTTGCTTTACGAAAAATGCATTTCAAATGGCCAGATGTGCTTCCTACCTGTGTATTAATATGCTTACTAAAAGGGTGCTCCCTTCTCCTTGAAAGTGATGAAGATCTTATTCAAATACTCTGGCAAAAATCTTGTTGATTTGATGAAGTCAAGAATGAAGTCAAAGACAACTTTGTGACAGTCAAAAGTCACTTAGATAAAAGAGTAGAGGGATTAGTGTGTCCGTAGCTCGCTTAGGTATAATCATTTTTATCTTTTCCGTTGCATGAGGTTTCTTCACTTAAAAGATTTTGCAAAATGCTTCTAAAAACGTTTAATCAGCTTAAAAACAAAATATTTTGATAAAAGCTTTTGAATTAACTATTTTAACTAATAACATATATGTTATATCAACTAAAATGTTCTTCACATTTTTATAAACAAGTTTTTAACTGATATAATTTCGAAATAACCGATTAAAATCACTTAAAATGTTCAGAGAAATGTTTTGGCAGTATTTTAATCGATACAACTTCATTTTAATCGATTAATTTCATTTGGTATACTGTATGACCGATCAGAATGCGATTATGACCGATCAGAATCAGATATGATCGATCAGAATTTAGTTATGACCGATCAAAATTATTTCAATCGATTAAATTACATTTCAATTGATTAAATCAACTTAAGAAAATTTATACTACGCGTTTTAATCGATTAATACGATCTTTTATCAGTTAAAATCACTTGAAAAAGTTTATAAGAATATCTTGCAGTATTTTAATCGATTGAAAGACGAAACAATCGATTAAAACAAATTAGAATATTTTTTACAAAGAGTTTTAATTGATATAAACGTTGTCGTATCAGTTAAAACAAATCTGGAAAATAATCAAGAACGTTTTAATGGATTAAAAGAAGTTTTAACAGATTAAAACAAGGCTTTTAACAGATTAAAAGATTATTTTAACAGATTAATTAAACCAGCAGTTTTGAAAATCTTCTATATAAACAGAGTTGCTTGATCATTTTAAAATAGATCTGATACACATCTTTTTGCAATCAATCAAGCAATCAAAATCACTACTTTCAAGAAAGAATCACGCTTGTTTTTGTGAAGTTCATCAAAGTTCTTTCTTGAGGAAAAATTGCATTTCTTTAGAGAAGAAACACTTATTACAGAATTGCATAAAACTGGTTTGAGCGTTTTAGTTTCTTCTTTTTGTTTCTTTACATTCTTTTCTGTATTGTTAGTGCCTGGAATTGTGGGCACTGGTTTCTCTGCAGCTGGAATTTGGTTGTAGAGGTTGTCAAGAACTGGAATTTGGTTCTTGGTGAAAGGTTAGGTGCAGGAATTTGAATTGTGGTTCTTGTGGTAGATTGAGTGTAAGGTTAAGGTTGTAATCTGTAAAACATTCAATCTAGTGGAACCCAGCTGGAATTTGGCTGGAGACTAGACGTAGCCCTGGGATTGGGTGAACCAGTATAAAACTTGGTGATATCTTTCTAAACCTTTCTTTTCTTTAATTTTGTTGCTGCATTTATTTTTTGATTGCTTGCTGTATGATTCAAGAACAGATCTGAAATATTAATTTTTGAAATAGAAAATCTGTTAATTGCAAAAATCTTTCAAAGATCAATTCACACCCCCTCTTGATCTCAGCCTCTTTTTCTAACAATTGGTATCAAGAGCAAGGTTCTTGAGAGTTATTCAAGTCTATTCAAATTTTTAATGGCTGAAAACAAATTTTCTGAGGGTGCTTGTATTGATAGACCTCCATTATTTTGTGGATCAGATTATCCATTTTGGAAAATTAGGATGAAGATCTTTATTGAATCTGTTAGTATAAATGTTTGGAATGTCATTGAACAAGAAACTGATATTCTTAACAAAGATTGGTGTAGCCTAAATGAATGTGAAAAGAAATTAATCCAAGACGATTGTGTTGCCAAAAATATCATCATATCTGCACTTAACATAAACGATTTTTTCAGGATAGCACACTGTCAAACTGCTGCACAAATGTGGAAGATCCTTGAAATAGTCTATGAAGAAACAACAGAGACATGCTTAATGGTCAATTCGGATTCTCCAATAACCAGTGTAAGTTCTGACCCAACAACTACTCTGAATTATAGTTCTTTACAAGATGCTTTTTATGAAATGCATGCAGTAGCCAAAAGATTAGAAACTGAAAACAAAAGGCTAAAAAGTATGAATAATCTATTAGAAAATAAGATCACTATTCTTGAAAAGAAAATAGTTGATGAAGAAATCAAGAATGAAAATTCGGATATAGACAATAACTCTGATTGCATGTGTAATGTTAAAGATTGTAAAAATTGTCCTAAGTTGCAAGAGAAATTAACATATTTAATAAAAACTGCATCTAAACTAGCAAAAGGAAAGACTAGTCTTGATATGATACTTGATTCTCAAAAATTAGTTATTAACCGTGGTGGAATAGGTTTCACACCTCCCATTGGAAAGAAAACTAGAGCTCTTAAAAACTATTTTGTATATAATAAATCTGTGTCATCTCCTTTTGTTAAATGTTTTTACTGCATGCAAAAAGGTCATTCTGTGAAATATTGTAGAATTAAGAAACATGTTATTCCTAAAGGTAAAATGAAGTGGATACCCAAAAAGTCATTTCAAATAACATGATTGGACCCAGTAATTTAATAGGGGTACCAGAAACATGCTAAATCTGTTTTGCAGGAACAAAATCTGGAAGTCCCTTGGTGTTCAAAACAGCAAATCAGGTTCTGGTTTCATAAATTGAATGTTTTAATTGATATAAAACAATATTAATCGATTAAAATATCTTACAGAGAATACTAGAAAATCTGTCCGTACAGTTTTAATCGATTGAAATACGAATTAATTGATTAAAATGTTCTCAGGATTTGAGTTTAGCTGTTTTAATCGATTAAAAAGGATTTATATCAACTAAAAACACTAAGATATCAAATTTAATCGATTTTTTTTCGTTTTAATCGATTAAAATTTTGTTATCACTTTATTAATTTCATCCAGTACAAGATTAATCGATTCCTTTATGAATTAATTGATTATTTCACTGTAGCATTTTTAAACCTAGTATTAAAGATCAAATTAATAGGCTAATTAGTTGATTAATCGATTAATTTGTTCCTGAAAATTATTCATCCAATTGAAAATTGGTAAGCAAATCAAGAGTCAAAATCCCAAGTTTTTGTTGTAATCAAAATCTGCATAATTCTTTTTAATATTCTTTGACCAAGTCAAACATCTTCCCAAGAACAGTTTAGTTGATGCACCCACTATCCAGAAATTTGTGCCTCTGTCTTCGGTCAAGGGGACATATACAATTAAAGCTGATTTTGCAGGTTCTGTCAAAATTTAACCGCACGAAAATTGACATCCGTGAATCTTCACTTTGCTCACTTGTAGCTCATTGTTCTCATTCTTCTCTTTCTGGTTCAAATTGCTTCTCTCTTCTTTTCTTGTACTCACGTCTCAAAAACCCTCTCTAAA